TCAGTATTCACCACAGCCATGCACGACAGTTAATACATCCAAAGTTTCCCACGCTATGTAGACTCCCCCTCCAAAGGAACTTTATAAGGTATTACTTAATGGCCAGTTTTTCACTTTCCCACAAACAAATGGATATTCTAACTCTAGGGCAGAACTAACACATAGATTTTGTTTTACTAGTGACACAGAGTGCAGGAAACCTTTTGGCCAGCTCAAGCTGCCTGCCACCACTGTCCCCCAGAAGATCCAGTGCCATGAGTTTCTTGTGACACTTCCCAGAGCTATGTTATGCACTTACTTGCAAGTGAATGTAAATATATGGTCATCTCCCGCTTCTCTCAAGTTACTAAGGGCAGTCCACCACACATTACATTCTGCGGCTCACTTTTTTTCACTCTCTAATATATCTTGCAGCTCATCCTATAGAATTTCACAAAGAATGGTTACGAAGAATAGCATTGACACACATACTTCACCATACTTAACCTTCCTATAGGACTACAAGTTACTTGTCTCTAATTATGCACTATTATGGAAGATGCTTCAGAAAACAACTTTTGTACAAACCTCCCTTTGCCTGGGTGTAACTATGTTAGCAGGATAAGTCCCTGGATATGGTGGCAGGGCTCCCAGGATATATGATGTATTTTGCCAATGTTGCAAAACTTCGGTCAGCGGGGCAAGCCACCTTGGTTAGACGCCTTTATAATGAGAGCCTGGTGGCTTCCACACACCTTGCCAATGGAGAATCGTATCAAGCTTTATGACGATGTCCAGTCTGGTGGGTATAAAATAGATTTTATTGAGCCTTCATTTGCAGGTCTCTGCTGCCAGTGATCATGAGCATCTTTCTTACACTTCAGAAGAGTTTTTCTCTAACTAAGAGCAGTACACCTTGCCTAGGTGTACTATTCATGCATTCAGTTGATCTTTACAGCTCAGGTTTTAAAGGAAATTGTTTTTCACCTGTGATATGAGAAGAAAGTATTTTCCTAGGCCAGTATTTGGCCTGCAGTTCCTTAGGAGTCATTGTTACATGTTAACGTTTCCATGTGAACTTAAGAGTTGGCGAAGTTGAAAAAACTGTTGATATTTTTATTGAGTGTTCTTACCATTGAAGAAACTTTATAGTTTTTTTTTTTAACAGTCAAATTTATCTTTTTTTCGCTTGAAATGTCTTGTCTTTATCATTTGTAGAAAGGTCATTCTCACTGGAATTATAAAACTGTCCTCCCTCACTTTTGGGAACTTTGATCTTTTGGATTGAAATCTTTGAGCCATTTGGGGTGAGGTGTGAAGTTAAATTCAGCTTTAGTTTAGAAGGCTACCTAGTTGGTTCCATATCAACTAGTGAATAATTCATCTTTTCTCTACCGGTTTCCGAAGCCAGCTTCACAATACACAATTCCATATGTCTTTTGGTCTTGTTCTGCTCCTGCCATTGTGTTCTGTTGATCTGTGTGCCAGGGGCAAGTTGTTTTACTAAGTGTGGCTTTGTGAGGATTGCCTCAAACTCAGGGTCAGTATTCCTCACTCCTCTTCCTTTTCAGGCTTTTCTGGAACATTATTACATACATATTTTTGCAATATAAACCTTAGAATTGACTTATTCATTTAAAGAAATACTGTTGATCTTTCCACTGGGATGATGTGACACATGATATTGACCTAGAGGGAACTGACATATTTATGATGTTGTGTCTTCTCAGTCAGAAATGTGCTTGCCCTCCCCTTTGTTCAAGCATGTGTTTATGTCTCTCAGGAGTGCCTTAAAGTTTTCTTCACATGGATCTTGAGCATTTCTAGTTAAGATTATTCCTAGATATTTCATCTTTATTGTTGGTATTGTAAGTTTCCCCTATTATACAATATCTTCTAATTGAATGTGTATTGATTCTCCCTCCCTCTCTTTCTCCCTCGCTTGCTCTCTAGCTCTCTCCAGGGCCTAGAAACGCCTTTTCCCCCTGCCTTCAAGAGCTGGGGTCACAGTTGTGTACTAACATGCCCAGCTTTTCTCTCCTCTCCTCTCCTCTCCTCTCCTCTCCTCTCCCTTCCCCTTCCCCTCCCCCCTTTCCACTCCTCTTCCCCTCTTCTCCTCCCCCTTTCTTAAGGTTTTTCAAGACAGGGTTTCTCTGTGTAGCTTTGCACCTTACCCGGAACTCACTCTGTAGCCCAGGCTGGCCTTGAACTCACAGAGATCCACCTGCTTCTGCCTCCCAAGTGCTGGGATTAAAGGCGTGTGCCACGACCGCCCAGCAAGAGTATTTTCTAATACAGACTTGTCAGTGGGATCCCGGGCTACATAGGAATAGAGGTTAGTACCTCCATGTGGTGAGGTGGCAGAAGCTGGTCCTGTGAGATTTAAGACTGGGTGTGTGTAGAAGAAACGTGACATTTCCACAGCAGTTCTTCCCCAGGAAGAAGGCTCCTAACCTTACCCATTTTCCCCTGGGTGGATGGATGAAGAAGCCAGGAATATTACTGTATTTGAGTTCCTCTCAAGAGGAAGGAAACCTAAGAAATAGAGAAGAAATAGTTTCACACTCCTCTTTCTGTAATGAGTATCTGCGAAGCATAGAAAGTGATAATGGCAACAGGAAATCTTACCTTCCTCCTGGAGCTCAGAGCAAGTGCTTCTGGGACATCAAAGATGATGCCGGCACATTGTATGGTATGAAAGTGCCATTAGGAAATACATTCCTTTGGACAAAACCAAATATAGTACAGAATCTAGGACTTTGCCCATGCTAGGCAGGCACCTCATGACTACACAGTGGTCCCATCTCTCTATTATTTTTAGAAACAGGGTCTGACTAAGTTGCTCAGGCTGACCTTGAACTCACTCCTCAGCCCCTACATGCCTTGAACCCATAATCCTCTTGCCTCAGCTTCCTGAATGTTTGGGATTAAGAGCCTGTGCACTGGGTTTATTGCCATTTTTTTTTTTAAATGAAGAGTGGTTGAATCTATCAAAAGTTTTATTATAGTCTATGGAGAGTGTCATCTCAACTCAATTTTCTTCTTAGGTCTTTACATATAAATAACCTCTATCTCCCTCTGCCTATTCCTCATGCCCCTTTTTTTCTTTGATGGGGTCTCATTATATTGCCCAGGCTGGCCTTGAACTTCTGGACTATCAAATGCTGGCTCAAGATTCACAACGTCCCATCCATACTAATTCCCACTAATACAATGCTTAACACCAACCCATCATTGTAACAAGTAGAGGATTACTTAGAAAAGGCAGTATTTTTTTAGTGTTCTTCTGGATTCTGTTTGTTAGTGTTTTACTGAAGTTTTTCATCCAAATGTCTAAGTGAGATTCCCCATAGTTTCCTATTCTTCCTTTCATGAAACAACCACTGGGACCACACCTCAATGCTTAACACTTTTCTTTAAAAATTTCTTTTAGATTTATTTATTTCACGTGCATGAGTGTTTTGCCTTCATATACATGTTTGCACCACATGCATGCCTGGTGCCCACAGTGTTCAGAAGAGGACATTAGGTCTTCTTGGACTGGAGTTAGGGGTGATTATGAGCATCACCTGGGTGTTGGGAATTGAGCCCTGGGCATCTGTAAGAGTAACAAGTGTTCTTAACTGCTGATCTGTCTCTCTGGCCCCTACACTTTCCTTTCGAAGCTTTATACGTTTGTATGCCCTTGGACAATTCAAATCACGCCAGAGCAAATTAAGGTGTGGAGCAGGGGAGTCAGGATTTTTGTTTTTGTTCTTTGACACTTTCTTTTTAGTAAGTGCTTTTAGATTATAGGCATGCACTATCCATTGGATTTTAAAAATCTCATCTATCAGCATGTTCCAGGGCACACTCTGTGCTAACATGCCTTTTGATCCCGTGTTAGGTGCTGGGGATTCAGAGGTAAACCAGATATTATATCTACTCCTCATGGAGTATACCCAAGTCGGGAGACAGCTACAGAAACAAGTGACTTGAATGCGGTATGCCAAGTCTAGAGATTCTCAGGAAGACTGCGGACAGAGCATGTGTAGTGTGAGAGCATGTGTAGTGTGCATTGACACCTTCCCTGCTCAAAGACCTGCGTCGGGTCTCTATTCGAAGGCTGAATTTTAGGAGGTTGGGAGAGAGGTTCCCACCACCAAATCTTCTGTTGTGCTTCCCTTTCCTTGACGGTGCTGCGGTTCCCCGTGTGGGCCCTACCTTTCTTTGTCTGATGACCCCACCCCCACCCTCTGAATACCACTCATCACCTGCTTTTCCGTGGGTGACCTTCTCATTCCTTCACATCACTTAAAAAAATAGACTCCCATGCCTCCTGTCCTTGTAAGCAAATAAAGCCCAGAGAGATGGCAGCCATTCCCTTGCCACTCAGGTCCCAGCTCTCTGCCCCTGTGACCATCTCACGTGGCTCCTCTCAAGCAGAAATGAACTGCTCTGGGAAAGGGGACCAGCGACTTGCTCAGGGCCCCTCCTAATAGTCCCAGGGTTCTAGGTTTTCATCTAGCAGGCCCTTCACATTCCTTTGCCTTGTAACCTCCTGTTGCTCTCTCAGGATGATGCCTGGAGGTCAGCTCCTACCTGAACCCTCCAGTGCTCTTGCCGTTGTGAGGCCACACTTCTCTGGGCTTGTTTTGCACATGTGAGGCAGAACACATGTTATTTTTTTAACTTTTTATTTATTCTTTGTGTCTTTCACATCATGTACCTTGATCCCATTTATTCCCCATCCCTGTGTATCCACCCTTTGCCCTTGTAGCACCTCCCCCCAATAAAATATAAGAGAAAAAAAGAAAAGAACAAAAAGGGAAAACAAATCTCGTCACAGAAGCTGTATTATGACACAGTGAATCATGCAGAGAGTCACTGGTCTGGTTCGAGCCCTCTGGTTTCTACTACACTATCAATGCTGGGCCCTCACTGGGACTCTTCTCAGTTATTCAGCTGTTGCCCTGTGTTGTGGAGATCCTGTGGCTTTGGGTCAGCGTTTGGGTCTGGCCCCTTCACGTGCTCCAGCGGATCACAGATGAGGTGGATATTGGCGTGGGCCAACACATAAACCTGGTTCTGGACCTGGACAGTGGCGGGCTTGGTCAGCCTGCCATCTCTCGTCCTCACCACCAGGGGGAGCTCTCCTGCATTGTCTTGGTGAGTTCACTCACCCGTTGCAGCGATGAGCAAGGGCTGGGGCCAGTTCTCCTGCTTGGTTCTCCCTTAGGGTCAGATCTTCTACATCTGCAGCTTCAGGGCCAGCTCCATTGTGTTGTCCAGGCATGGCATAGGGGACACTCTCCTCAGTGCCGCAGCGGATGAGGGGTAGGGTCAGCTCTCCCACACTTATGACCTCAGGGCCCGCTCTCCCACCTGCCTCCTCAGGTATTGATGGTCGGTGGGTGGGGTGGGGTGGGCATCTCTCTCACCCATGCTACCACATGACAGATGAGTAATGGGGACAGCTCTTCCATGCTCACAATATCTCGGCTGGCTCTATTGTGCTGCCCAGTGTTGCAGCTGGTGGCAGGCAGGGGCAGCTTTCCCATCCTTCTGACCTCAAGGTCATCTCTCCCACCTGCCTTGGGCATTGATGGGAGAGATGCATCTTGGGGAAGAACACATGTTTAACGAAAGGAATTAAGTAATGTTACTAATTATTTGATATTATTGTTACCTTCCTTATACAGATGAGGAACAGGGCTCAACACACCTTCCTGTCTAGAGTCACACAATGAACTAGTAGGGAAGACAGATATTCAAGATCTAGTCAAATGCAAAGCCAAATTCTAGTTTTGTCTTCTCATTCTTTCATGCAGTCGCTATCAAGACAGAGAACGCAGAGCTTGGGACAGACAGGTCCTGACATTCCATCTCAGCTACTGTCCAGCCACTGTCCAATGACTATTCTCCTGTCCTCCCGACTCCTCTCCTCTCCTTTCTGTACAGTAGAACCAGCCAGTACCTTCTCTGTAATTACATGACTACAACACAAGGTGTCGCTGCAGCGGGAGCAAAGCAATGGGAGCGAGGCAAAGCAGTCAAGCAAGGCAGAGATGTTCTCGGCAGGTGAGGCATCTTCCCTGTCTATGGGGTCCAGCCACATCACTAAGCACCCAGAAGATGCTGGCTGAGGCCTTGGCAATGTACAGGCACTTGGGTTCCTTGACCTTAAATCCGGTGAGTCTCAGAGAGGACCTCAGAACTCTGTAGCAAAGAAATGTCTGGAGATGTCTCAGTTTGAGTCTCTGATGGACTATTCAGAAAGTTATGTAAATGCAGATTTATTATGTATAGTTCCTTTTACATTTTCTTTCAGGTTTGTTGTAACATTTCATTGTGAGTTAAAATAAGCTCATCATGGAAATTTTAGGAAACAGAAAAGCAAGCTAGAAAACAAGACCCTCAGAATAACTACTAAGAGAATATCTGGCTGTACTGGATCTTTCCATGCCTATTGTTATTTTACATGGTGGAGATAAGAATTTGCACACAAGGGAAGTTCGATTTCTTTCTTCTAACCTCAATTTAGCTTACAAATCAGCTCTGGTATTCTGGTAAAACACTCCTGTGTATTATTTTTAGAGGGTGCACATCCTATATTACTTACCCAGCCTTTAGTGGTGGGGCAGGTCGACTGTTTTTTACCTACTTGCTATTACATGCTTTGATGTGCCAAGCACCCTTAAGCATGGATCTGCACATGCCACTTACCCATTACTTACCCATTCTTCAGCTGTGGGGTAGGTTGGTTGTTTCTGCTTACTTACTATTACACGCCTTAATGTGCCACGCACCCTTATGCATGGACATCTGGTGACAGGATTACTACACTGGCTTTTAGGATTCTTGATCTAAATAATGATGGTGATTTTAGAGAACTGGCAGTCTAGGCTAAGAGAAGCACCTGTTTCCTTTCAGTTTCCTTGGTGACAGCAAATTATGCTTGAGATCTTGCACGGGCGCTTAAGCATTGTTGCTTCTCACAAAACAGTTGTGACATTGTAATATCAGTTGAAATGACTGGCTAAAGTTGAATATAGGGGAACAGAGCTGCAGAGCAGCAGGAAAGGGCAGGCAAATGGGATGCCAGAGGAGGATGCCACCGAGAGCCCTGCCCACACTCTTGCTTGCCCTGCTTCAATATTCTGTTTAAAGTCTCCACTTAGGGGACTAAGGAACAGCAGATTCTCAAAGCCAGGCAAGTGGAGTGTCAAGATGCAGAGATACACCCAAAATAATGCACAGAACAGGACAGGGCTGGACTGGGCAGAACTAGGCTGGACTGGGCTGGACAGGGCTGGACAGGGTTGGACTGGGCTGGACAGGGCTGGACTTTTGGCCACTGGCCCATCTCATGGGTGGACTCTAGGTGGCACTGTGGCCGCAAAAGTTTTGGGCTGAGGTGTCCGGGCAAAGCTACTGGGAATTGGGAGAGAAAGAAATAAAGAAAAAGAAATGAGATGAAGCAGATGAGCAAGAGGGAGAAAGTGGGAAAAAAGAGAGAGGGAGAAAAAGAGAGAGGGGGAGGCCACGGGTTGTGCTTGGTCCGGAAGAGATGAACTAAGCTAAGGTCTCATTCATCCGTTCATTCAGTCACTCATCCACCCACTCAGTTACTGAGTCCCACCCGAGGTCTGTGTGGTGTGATGCAGATAAAGTAGCGGCTAAGCAGCTGCCTCCCCGAAACCACGTGGTTCATGAGAAGCAAGAATGGCCAACATTAGCTGACCTCTGTGTAAATAAGCAATGGCGTGCTTGAGACGGACACTGGAGGCCTGGGGTGAAGGAGCTGAGCTAGCCTGGGAGAGAGCATAGCTAAGGATGGTTTTTCCATAGAGGTGAGGTTTGAAGTAGCCAAGAGTGAATCAGAAGAGAGAGATGAGGGAGGAAAGCTGAGCTGCAAAGGGGGTCTGTGCTGAGAGGAGCCAGTCGGACATGTGGGAGGGGGTTTATAGCAGAAACAGGGTGAAGCCCACACAGCACTTTATTTAGACAGGGATTTTGGCCTTTATACTGAGAGTATGGAAAGGGGTTGAGAGCTTTGTGCAAGGTGGGAGCTGGGTACAGAGTTGTTCATGAGGAAGACCACTTTGGTCTAAGGACAGAAACGGCCTTGGGGCTAACCAGAGAGGAGGCTGTGTGTTTCCGTTAAGGGACTGTGGAACTCCATGAGAGAGATGAGCCCCAAACAGAGGAACGAAGTGGGCAGATCACGGCTGGTGACTGAGATTGAGGGCTCTCACTGTGGGTGGACACCTGGCGTTGGCACCTGAAGGGATGGATGCTGGTGTCACCATGGAGGCAGTAGCCTTTGAGCAATGATCGGGTTTGGATGAGAAGCCTAGGCACTTGACTTTTGACAACTTTGTAGGGACAATCATAATCTCATCCCGTTCTTGCTTCCTTGGCTCAGAAGTAGGCAAGGACATGTAAGGAGGGGACTTTCTCCCACCAGCAGGTGTGGCCATCCCACTAGGTTACTCTGTGCTCTCTTTCTTGTGGGGAGCATGTTGGGGTCAGATACCATCAGACTCGTGGAGCTTTACTCAAGCTGGGACTTTGCTCTGGTGGCTATGGCTCTGTGGACACTAGGGTGGGAATCTGCAGGATTATGTTTGATGTCTTGACCCAAATGTTTACCAGGGTACATTTTCCTAGGGTTTCATTGAGATGACTTTTACAAAGTCAGGCTTGTGACACTTTTGAAATCTGAATTCACTGAGGCTGAAGCTGAGCTGTTTCTCTCCTTCTGTAGGGTCTTTTTTCTATGTTGTTCTAGAAGGGAGAGAAGAATGTAGTGTATTGCTTTACAGTTTTCTAAGTGGAGATGCTGAACAGGTCTGAAAAGCTTGGAGAAAAGGCCTGGGCCAGAGAGCACCACGAGTCACCAGTAAGAAGCATGGAGTGGGAAAAACAGCTCTAGGTGGGCCTTGAGAGCTTAGTGTTTTAGGGGGGCAGATGAGGGTGTTCTCGTGAAGTAGACTGAACAGAAAAGGAAGGAGTGAACTGAAGATGAGGTGGAGCCTTAGAAACCTGTAGGAGATGGGGGCATCAGCGGAAGTAGCTAGCGCCTGAACATGTCTGTTAGATTAAGTGACAGGGAAGCCCCTGGTGGCTTCAGCAAGCTGAATTTGGAAGGGTGATGGGGACTGCATAAGCCAGCCTGCAGGGGGAGAGTATGCAGGGGGTGGAACTGAGGGGTTCAGGGGAGACACATGTTTTGAGATTTGGGGGTATATGCCTCCCATTCATTTCAGCTGCCCATAGCTTTATTGTCCTGTGTTTGGAGAACTCCCTAATTTCAACTGTTTCTGAGAAGCGGGCCTACCTCCTGCCACACACAACCCAAGGCGGGTAGCAGGTGCTTGTCTTCATGGCTGACCTGGATCTGGAAAAACTCCAGTGCAGGGCTCAAGTGTCAGCTCAGACTGGAAAACTGGGGCTTGTCAAGCAGGAGAGGCTGGACCCAGAGGAATGTTTCTATAGTGATGATGGTTGTGGAAGGAGTCCCGGGTAGCAGGGCAGCAAAGCTGGTGATGGGCAGTGGGGAATGATAGGGAGGTGAAAGGCGTGGAGAGGCTGTTGCCATGGCACCAAGAGTGGGGAAGTGGCAGGAGCCGTGAAAGAGGTGACAGAAGTAGACCAAACCTAGGGTCCCTGTCCTGATAATTTTGTAAGCAAGAGAATCTATCCACCTCTGATGTTTAAGTCAATTTGAATGTGGTGCATTTGCAAAAAAAAATGAATTTTGAGAAATGCATACACCAGTGGTCTCCCTCTTCCAATCAGCTTGTGTATGTCCATCACTCCTACAAGTTCCTTTGTATCCCTCTGCAGCCAGTTTCTCTCTGAACCTCTGGCCCCAGGGAGCTCCTTGCTCCTTAGATCTATCTGTTAAGTTTCCCTGTTTGGGGGTTTTATACAAACTCCGTGTATTGTGCCTGACTCCTTTCCCTCAGCTATGAGGGGAAGAGATGAGCTGTGAGATTCCCCATGGAAGTGTCTGCTCCCTGCAGAAAATGTGTGGATCTGCAGTAGTAATTCAGCCCTGATGGCTGTGAGGCGCGCCCACTGTGTATGTATATCACTCACTGCAGGGAAGATTAAAGTCATGCCCAGTGTTTGGCTACTACGACTAAGGCACGTTTGTGTGCAGGACTCTTTATGATGTGTTTTAGCCTCGTCAGTCAGTTTTGCTTTTGTCCAAATCACAGCTAAGGAACCCCAGAGCAACAGAAAGAGAGAAGAGAACCGATGGCAGCTGGGAGAGGCCGTTGAGGTCAGGAAAGTATTTTATTTTTAAGGTGTAAAAGGCTTGAGCATGTCTAAACATTGCTGCTCATGATCTGCTTGGCAGGGATCAGCTGAAGAAAGGGAAACTGGATGATGTGAACCCTGTAAAGGTGTGAGGGGAGAGAGCCTCACTCAGCTGGAGGGGAAACATTGTAGGGGAGGCAGAAACGGAGGACAGGGTGGGCCAGCATGTGAGCAGAGGAGGAGGGATTTCACAGGAGGCTTTCAGCTTTTCTGTGAAGTAGGAGGCAAGGTTGCACACCCGACAGAGAGGAGACGGGTCAGAGGCTGTGAGAGGGGTAAGGTATGCAATGGACGCTGTAAGGAGGGCAAGAAGGCAGGGACTGGAAAGATGAAGTGAGATTGCTCGACACTGATGTCCAGCTGATGTCTGACAGGACCACCCTGCTGTAAGAGGTCTCACCAGGAGCCCAGCGCTCAGAGGCAGGCCTGAGGAGGGCAATGGGGAGTTTCTGAGTAGACCAGCAGACTTGGTGACAATCCTGCAGAGCCCTGTGGCAGCAGAGGTATCTGCTAAGTGGATGAGTGTGGAGGGCACACGACCCTAGGTTAGCTCTGATTGGTGTGCCAGAGGGAACACTTCAAGGACAGAGAAGGGAAGGGGCTTGACAAGGTCACATACAAAGTCCAGGGCAGCCTCTAAAGTCCAAGTACTCTTTCTGTGACTGCCTGGTCAGTATGGCCTAAGTGGCCAGGGGTCTGCACTCTGATCCTGCCTCCACCTCAGGCTCATCATGCAAGTGCTGGGAAATTTCTCCTTCCCCATGCGATAGAGACACAGTCTCAGACAGCTAGAACAGGGAACCCACTGGCCACTGGAATGATTTTCCTTTCTGGCTCCAATTCTTCCTGCCATGTAGTGGGATTGCTTTGCCACACACTCTTACAGTGAGGGGAGCAGCTGCTTCCTTCCGATGACTTTTGCTGAGCCTTCTGACTTGATCTTCCCAGTAGATTTAGTGAACCTAAGGGAGTTTGTGTTTTGGTAATTGCTAAGAAGGAACATACATGGACCAAACTCAACCACTCTGCATTGTGGACACTGATACTCAGCAGAATCTGCAATGTAACAGCTAAGCTGAGTGTAGCCAGTTGCAACATATGGGCAGAGAAAATGCTTACAATTGAGGCTTCCACAATGTGGGTGGTTTGTCATACGGTGTGACTGACTGATAGAGGGCAGGCCCTCTGTCAACTACAGGTGTGGTCACTACCACCATGTCTACTCTAGGCAGCTTGGTTTAGCAGAAGTAGGGGTGGCATGCCTTGAGATTTCGTTATGTATTAAAATAAATACTATTTAAAGATCAAATTCCAATTCTAAAATTCACATTGAAACCTAAGCAGCAGATGGAAATGTTTACATTGCTTCTTGGGGAGACAAAGGTGGCTAAAGAGACTCACTGAATCTTTCCTGCCCTGTGCATATGGTAGAACCTAATTGTGATTTAAAAAAAAGAGAAAGAAAGACAACTAAGCTGAAGAGCACCTTTGATGAAAGATGTTGTCAAACATTACATTTGATTATCAGCAATCAATTTTAGGTTTAATTTGAATCCCTATTCCAGATATGTATGAAAGTATGCATGTTAGAGATTTGATCATGTGATTACTTTCCCCTCCATGGGTAATAATGAGGCCAGGAAAACACATTAGTGCTTGGTGCTGCTTTCAACCAAACGTGAGGGGTGGTGTGGGCTTGAGGGTGTCACCAGAGGCCTTAACTTTGTTGTCAGCTTCCTAGTGGAGATGCACCTTTCCATAGGGCAGCCTGAATGACCGATTCTATTCAAGTGCAAAAATAACAGAGTTCATTTTTTTCATCTTTTTTAGTAACCTGGAGCGGAAGTCCAAACTGGCTTCTGGAGCAGAGATGCTTCTTGGAAAATGCCAAAGAAGATTCTGGTCATAGTTTCTGATTTTAGGGCCTACTTGTTTTTTTCACACTCTTAGTACTTGATCCTGCTTTTTATATTGAAAGAAGATACTAAAGAGGCAGGAGAGGCTGAGGGCAAAGAAGAAATGTAATGGATGGCTCAAGGTCCTGGGACAAGTAAAAGGAGAAGACTGGAGTCCTGTGTGTGAGTAGGAAGATGAGCCCTGAAAGAAAGAAGGGTCCTCTCTTGGCTGAGACTAGGGGGAGTGTGTGGGGGTGTTTGGTGTGTCTGGGCCTGGGGACCTAGAGTGAGGCAGCTATTTGAGGAAATCCAAACCAAAGGGCTCAGTGAAAAAGGATGCACACTTCCCTTGTGAATGAGAGCCACAGGGGTTAGAAAGAACCACAAATGGAGCTGTTGTGGAATATGATTTTAACTATGTAAAGATGTGTCGCATCTGTTTCACCTTGCCTGTCTAGGGCGCCTGGTTGGCCTAATAAAAAGCTGAATGGCTAATAGCTAGGCAGGAGAAGGATAGGCAGGACTGGCAGGCAGACAGAATAAGTAGGAGAAGAAGGGAGAGAAGGAGAAGAGAATGAGGGAGAAAGAGAGGGACATGCCCAGGGCCAGAAGTCAGGCAGCCGCCAGCCAGACATGGAGACAGCAGAAAAGTATGACATACAGAAAGAAAGGAAGGTACAAAGTCCCAAGGCAAACCGCAGATGAAGAGAACCAGGTTAAGTTATAAGAGCTAACAAGACATGAACCTAAGCTAAGGTCCAGCATTCATAAGTAATAAGTCTCTGTGTCATGATTTTGGAGCTGGTTGGTGGCCCTGAAGAAAAAGCCTGGTGCATAGAGCAGCAGCAGAACAGGACGGAAAGGGGCTGACAGGGCTGAGGAAGCACAAGGTGGGTGAGGGATGTATCCTGATGGAACTAGCTGCATTCTCCGCTCCTGGCTGTCAGCTGGCACGGCTCCATCTCTCAGGGAGGACACAGCGCCTGCGGTGTCTTCTCTGGAAGGCCTTCTCTGATTGCACTCCCGTACTGCACTCTAGTTCTCCAGGTTGGGTGGGCATCGTGGGTGCTTTGCAACCTGAATGTTTCTGACAGTGCGTTTCCAAGCTTTGCGTCTGCAGTCCGTGCAGGAAATGGATCTGGCCAGTCCTGGGTTAGGCTGGTCCAGGTAGGCTGGCAGACAGCATGCATGCCCTTCCTGCAGTCAGGCTTGAGGAGAGCAACTCGGCTTCCTGGCTAGCACCTGCCTCCTTCTTCCACTGCCTGCTGCTCTTCCTCTTAATTTCATTTCCCTCTTGGCCCTTATACCAAGACAGCCTCCTCACTGCTGTTCTTTCCTTTAGGTGCTCTGAACTTTCCTCTGGGAGTCTTTCCTCTTGGAGTAACGTAGTACAAAGAGGATAATCCACATCCAGCTTAAGGCTTTGAGGGAAGCTATGGAATGGAGCACAGCGCAGGGAACCCCACACATAGGCAGAAGCCCCATTTCCCCCTGCTTAGTCCCATCTCATCTCCCTGTTTATTGAATCTCTGCTTTCCTCTCTGTCACTAGCTTGCAAGTCAGTTCCTTTCCCTTCAGTTTTCTGTCTGTCTGCAAATCACGACCCTCAGCACATCCACGGCACAGCCATGATGCTGTAAAGTACACTCTATTTGTAAGCTGTCCTGTGCTGTTGCTGTTTGAGTTCAGTGAGATGCTGGCTCCGGAAGTGGGCTGACTCCTCCGTCTCAGAGCCAAGCATGGTAGTCTCAATGAGTCCTCTAAAACTCTTTGTCCAGAGAGTGGGTTGGCCCTGTCCCTCTCTGTGACATGAAGGGAAGAGAACGGTAAAGTAGCCCCAGAGTGAAAGCATTTCCATCAGAAGCCATTGTTTATCCCATGGTATAAAAGAGTCTGCAGTGGGAGCGAGAAGCAGAAGTTCAGCCACGGGAAGCTCATTGTGGAGAGCAGCTCAATTGGGAAATCCAGTTGCCTGCCTCACCTTCCCCAGATGCTTTCTGCTGGATGCTTGTAAACCTCTGAGTTGATGATGGCAGGATGCACCAGTCATCTCCGCTGGGTGGGTTCCTGATCTCATGGTGTTTTTTGTTATCTGCCACTTCTCTGTTCCTGCTTACTGATCCTTCCACACTTGCTTCCTATGGATTTAATACACTTATTCAAAATGAAAAGCATGACTAACACAGGTTGTTCTCTTGACTGGACAGAACAGAAGCCGTTGAGGGACTGTGGCTCACTCTCCATGTGTTCCTGTTATCTATCTCGGGCTGAGCAGACAGATAGACTCAGTCCACTTTTCATGGCATTAGTATTGTCTTGATGGGTTTCTGGCCCTATAACCCAGAGCCATGACCTACAGTCAAATGTGGTACAGTTCACAGTCAAGAGAGCTTGCTGTTAGCTGCTGGGCCCCTCACAGGAGGCCAGAAAGTTCTCTAGTGCAGATTCTGGTTGTGCTCTAAGGAGTGTGTTTTATTAATCTGTGGCTCCTCAGAGCCTGGCTGGGGACTCCCACAGAATGCACATCTGAGATCTGGCTAGCGAGTGAGTTCTTGAATGGGAGTCTTGGCTGGACTTGGTCTATGATTTTTCACACCTCATTAAAATAAAGAAGTCCAACTTCATTGCATCAGAGCATTCAAGTGACACCACGGAGCTTTGAGAGGCAGCTCAGAGTCAGACATGGAGAGGCAGGAAGGGTGTCAGTCACAGGGACTCTGTTCTAGTGGGGTGTGGGCTGGATGTCAGGCTCATAAAGAGATTTACAAAATGTACCATCAAGGTGACTGTTGACACGGAAAAAAAAAACTAATGTAAGGGAAGGGCAGATTCTAGATGTGGCGTTTCTTATGGGGTACGCAGAGATGTCTCTGAAAAGGGGTTTTATGCAGAGTGTGAGGAGGGCAGGAGGAAGGTAACAAATATTGGGAGGAGGAGTACCCTGGGTGGAGGAGAGAAGTGCAAAACTCCAGCACAGAAAGATGTCAGGACCTCAGGGAAGGGCAAGGAGAGCCATGTGATACGGTAGCATGGATAAGCCAGGAGAAGGAGTAGAGCATGGATGCTGAGGTTTTGAAAGGATGAGAACCTCTCCCAGACTTCATAGCTAGGAAGTGGCTAGAAGGGGTGGTGTGAAAACTTAGTCCTAGGATGCTCTTCAGCCACTTCTCTCATCTTTCAAAATCTTAGTATTCATGTCTGTAAGTTGGGACCAGGAGCAGTGGCTTCTCAGGATTATTGGTGGAATGCACAAGCTAATCTAACTACAGCACCCTGGTGGGAATACTGGGTGAATGAAGGCCTAAGATAGAGGTGTGTGTGTGTGTGTGTGTGTGTGTGTGTGTGTGTGTGTGTGTGTGTTTGATTTTCCAAGACAGTCTTGCTATGTTGCCCAGTCTTGAACTCAAGATTCTCCTACTTCATCTTCCTGAACCTGGGCTAGGACTACAGGCATGCCGCACCACACCCAGCTCTCAATGAATGTTTGATACTGGCATTTCCCATGTGAGACATGGGCTTAAGTGATAAGAGTGAATTCAAATCTTCCTTTGAGCTGGAGAGAAGCTATCTTCAGGGTCTCTCCTGAGGAATTCATTATTGAAATGAACTCCTATCAAGTGCTGACTGCATTCATTCTTGACTCCAGAATCTGAACTCAGCCAAGATGTGTCTACACCACAAGGTCTGCAAGGGCATTTTGTTGTTGTTGTTGCTGTTGTTGAAGTAACTTGGACTTTCATTTTTGGACTGTTTGAGTCATACCTTGGAATGAAAATTACACACAACTTGCTATGTAGTTAACACAGTCATAATTATGCTTAATTGTTCTGAAGTGCCACATCACTGATTTCTGAGATGGGTCTCCCGTGTCCTTTCCAAGTGACCCAGGAAGAATGACTACCCAGAATAGCTGAGGGCAGAACCTCATGCCAATCTGCTTTGGACTCCTCTTTCCTTCTGCTTGTGTGGCCCCTTTGGTGGCTTGGCTTCCAAATGGAACCCACTTATTGATCTGGCTGCACTGGGGTAAAAGAGGAAATGACTCATTGTTTTCCAGCCACTCCTTCAGTGAGCTATAGACACCCCTGGAGGGCCACTCATGTAGATCCAATGGCTTTCATCCATCACTACCAGTTATTGTAAGAGTCCCCATTGGTTGTTATAGCTGGTGTGTGGGAAGTTCTGAACCAGTTTCGCCCTACCTCAGCAAGCCTCACAGGGACCAACCGGCTCCTTTCTCCACTAGCGATGCAGTCATTTTGAAGCCTCAGCTGTGTCTTGGAGATACTAGGAAAAATTCCAAGTAACGTCTTGTTATCTAAGACATTAGTTCCTTCGTCCCAAGTGCTTCACTTTCTTCTGAAACACAGAAGGTGGGTAAGCCTGCAGGTCATGGAATTTACTATCATTCTCATTTACAGATTAAAAAACAAAAAACAAAAACCCTGAGACTCAGAGAGGTTGAGTTACTTCACAGGATCGAACTCAAGAAGAACAGAATGAGGATTTGAGCCTGGGTCCATCTGACTCCAAAGCCTGTGGTGTTCAGCTTACTTTACCTCCCTTACCCAGCTTGCCCTGAGCCCTGTCTCTTTGTTCTCTCTGCCAAGAGGAAGTGTTCTGCACTTCGTGGACACAATAGGGCATCCTTTTGAATGAAGTCATTGTAAGAATGCAATGTTAGACTCCAGCTGATGCTCAGGCCACAGCATAGGCAGAAGCCCCCCCCCTTCACAGATATAGACAGGCACTCTATTGAAATATTGTCCGTGTCCCCCCCAACCCTAGCTAACAGACTTGCAAGTGCAGGATCTCTCACTTGGAGAAGGGAGATGACATCAAAGCTGGTACTGGTGGCCACACATCCTGCTCCCTATCTTGCCTTCTTCATGGGGATCAGAAAGCATGGCTGCTGGCTGGCACTCTGAAAGTGTCCTATCCACCCTCAGAAAGGTTAAAGAAGTGACTCCCACTTCTGCCACGTGGGCTCTGATTCCTCTCCTCAGACCCCCGCCATGCTGTCTGACTCTGGTGCTGGAGTCTGGATTCTACTCAGAGCCCCAGCCTTGCTGTTACTTATCTGTCTACCTGCCAGTGGCATTAATAACTCTTCTAATAAACTCCATACCCCCAACAATCCATCTCAGTGTCCCTTTTGAAACCCCATTTGAGATCGTTCAGTCACTTTCTTCTTGAGAGCAGCCAAGCACCCTGAGAGTGCCCCAACCCCCTCCAGCTGAAGGATACTTCCTGAATCACTTTATAACAGATCCTCACATCAGTTAGTAGTGGTGACTCTATTTACTTCATACCACTGTCTTTTAAACTATATAAAGTACCTAGTTGGTGTTGGTTTGTCCAATATTGGATTAGTAAAAAAGAAAGAGGCTTTTTCCAGTCTTAAGCCTATAATCTATTTAAAGAGGTAAGACATGTAAACTCCTTGCCAATACTATAGCAAGATGTTTATGATCCGATACCATGAGTCCAGGAAGTTAAAGGTGTTATGATTCAGGG